TGTACTGTAAACTTTATGATATGTCTACCAATATTCAATATACCTAACTAAAACAATTGTATTATATTATTTTGCATTTGGGACGGCTGCATCATAAGTTGCAGATACTCCCGGCCGTTAAGGCTTCCTAATTTATTACTCATTAAAGCCGAAGGCGAGCCAACACAAGTGAATATCCAATGTTCAGGGCCGGTTTTAAGGGGGGGCACGGGTGGGCAATTGCCCGGGGGCGGCAAAATTATCTCAGATAAAATAAACAAAAAATTAATTTTTTTTGTAAAGAGAAAGATTTCTAAAAAATGATACATTTTATTACTATTTATTTTTTAAATTCACATATGCATACATTTTTTTTACCTATATTTTATCATTTTAAATAAAGAAAAATAAACGTTATTAACTAAGTAGGTAGGTACCTACTACGTATCATGGAAGATTCTAGGTAGATAGTACCTAAGACCTAAGTTATAAATTAGTTACTTATGTTTTTTTGTATAGTTTAAATACTATTAAAAATCTAATATTGGAATGCATAGGTACCTAGTTAAAATTGCTAAAAATTAACTGCAAATTAAATTTCAATGAGAAAGGGATACATAAAAAAGGTGGGCAAGTGGGTGTCGCTCTGCTGTACAGTAGGTTACAAGTGGGTCACTGTATAATGGATGATATTAAATTTGAATTCAACGATATAATATCATTGTATAAGAAAAACGATTCTGAGCGGAGAGGGTATGTCAGTCTATGTATAAGACTTATTATATACATATCTATGGTATTAAACAAAAAATTGACCTATAATAGATACCTATAATAAATTCCAAATTAATCATATCACAATATCCATTAAGTACTTATAACGCGTTATACATCAACAAAAACCGTGATACTATCATAGATATATAATAGTACACTTTAGAAGTTTCAAGTACCCACGAATAATATTATTCAATCACAACAAAATAACTAAAATAATTATTCTAGGTTTTTTAATATGTAATTTCGTCCAAATTTGAATTTAAAATGTCTGTAAAAAATAACTGTGTTCATATATTTTTTAGATTTTTTGGTTACAGTATGAACTATTTATGAGAACCTTTGTTTTATATTTTCAATCCTTAGCTATAAAAACTGAACATTTTATAATTTATTAATTACAATGATTGATCATTTTCGAGATTTTGATAAATTTTGTCAAAATTCGATCTTTAAATGCTTATAAAAAAAACTGTGCCTATGTATTTTTAATATTTTTCAACTGATATTGACATATTGTAACAATATATAAGGAAGCTTGTATTACATTTTTACACTTTTTGGCCCAACAGATAAAACTTTATTGATATTTAAAGAAAAAAAAAACTAAAAAAATTGAAAGCTGTAAATTTCCGTAAACAGCTCAAAAAGAGTCAAAATATTTTCAAAATTGTATGGTGTATAGGAAATGCTAATATAAATATTCAGGGAAACTTTCATGTATCTACAGTTATTCGTTTTTGAATTACAACAAAATAAGGAAATCGCTACATGAGAAATCGAGTGAAAATCCAATGTTGTAAATATTTGAATTTCAAATGCTCATAAAAATTTAATTTGACTTTCTTATAGACATTTTTTTTTTGATAAAGGTAGACAATCTTCTGAGTAATCTTGTATTAGATTTTAAAATCTTAGATTTAAAAAGAAAAATTTTTACGAATTTTAAACTAAAAATAATTTGCTAATTTTCGTGATTTTTCCATATTTTGTCAATTTTTGAACTTTAAATGCTTATAAAAAAAAACTGGGACTAACGATTTTTAATATTTTTCATCTGCCTTTGAAACAGTATACTAGGAGCCTTCTATTAAATTTTCAATTTTTTTTAACCAACAAATTAAATTTAATTGATATTTCTAAAAAAAAAAACTAAAAAAAAATGAAAAATGAAAATGTCCCTAAACAGTTCAAAATAAATCAAAATATTTTGAAAATGTTATCGTGTATAGAAAATGCAAATATAAACAACCAGTGAAAATTTCATGTATCTACGGTCATTTGTTTTAAAGTTACACCAAAAACAAAATTCAATTTTCTGAAAAATCGATTTTGCGTAAAAATTCCCGTTTTTCCTTAATTTTTCTTTTGTTTTTCTTGGCGCTTTTGAAAAGTACTGGGAATTTTAAATTTTGACCTCCCCAATGCACCAATAATATTCACTTTCCAATCAAACTGCAAGATACTGAAGTTGAAAATCGAAGCATTATTTCGACTACTTATCGTGTACACAGACACAAAAATTAAAAAATTAAAAAAAAAACACACATCATTGTAAAATCAATACATTCATCGTTCCACTCAGAATCTAAAAATGTTTAGATCATAAAAGCATTTTTTTAGGGTATTTTTCGGGGTTTTTTACGGCATTATTTAGAGTTTTTAGGTCATAAAAGCATTTTTTTTAGGACATTTTTCGGGATTATTTAGGGCATTAAAATCCCAGCCCTAATCATAAGCCATATATTTGATCCTATATTAATTGGTACACAAGAAAATTCCCCATTTCCGAACTTCACACACAGTCATAATTTAGGTAATGAGACTGTTGCCAGTCTTTTGGATGACATCGTATAATATCGTATTGTTTCGTGATTTCGTTTATACGTTTGTTTTTAAATTGTATATTTTTTCGCAGTTTATAAAATGGAGTTGGAGTTAATAAATTCTAACAAAAAATACCCTCAGGTCGCGCATAAGGGATTTTTATACAATTTCCATAAAGAATGCTCTAATTTTCATAGCATTATAATTTATTGGTACTTTAATTGTATTATTATTATTTACTTTTATTTTATATTATATGACTTTTTATGTATTTATTATACATATTCATATTTTATTCATCGGGACTTTTTTTTCCGCGATTCAATTTCTCCACCAGTCTACATGGCGGTCAAATCCGAGGCCGGCTCGGTGTTACCGGCATAGGGACATACTGGATTTTATTACCTTTAAAAAATTATAACTAAAAAAATAAAAATCATATTTAAATTATAATTTCACCATCGTATTCAGCACAAATTTATCCTTAAAAATAAATTACAAAAATAATTTTAAAGTCCCATATTTAAGTAATAAATGTACATATAAATAGTAAAATTAGGTAAACTTTTATGTTACCATACCTAATTATTATACATAATTATTTTACATAATTATTATTATTGGGTTGTCACCAATGGGTGACTTCCCCCCTCCCGCTAATCATCCCCATCCAATTTACTCATTGTAATATAATATATTGTAATTACAGATTGTAAATAAAATTTTGTTCAATAAAAAACAAAAAAAAACAAATTATTATTATTATTTACTAAAAAAAATAAAAATCATATTTAAATTATAATTACACCATCGTATTCAGAGCAAATTTATCTTTAATAATTACAAAAAAAAAAAAATATTAATATTCTGTATTTACGTTATAAATGTTATTATTAAATTAAGTATTTTAAATATTTCTAGAAATACAAGAAATGTATTTTACTGGTGCATATTATTTTCTAGTGGTAGATTTCTAGCTCAAGAAACGAGTGTTCCTTCATCTAGAGACAACCTTTAAAGTCATATGCGATCATAGGGCTACTTGATACATTCATCTATAATAATCTATTTAGTTTAATTTCTACTTTAGAAAATCGACAAACCGTTCCGTCGACCCGGTTCCGGTTCGTAAAGTTGACCGCTGCAACTACAACCAAATCAGCGCTCGAGTAACCGCTTATGGCGGTGCCCGTTGGCGAAATTCGTGGGTAGGTATTGATTCACATCGTAAAGCACCCTGGATTCTATATATATATAGCCTACATTTGAGTTAATAAACGTACCCGGCAGCCGACTCGTGGGGCGTGGCTTCCCAGCCACGATGCAACCCTAATATACAGATTCTTTATTCTCGTGGGGTGGTTATTGGTAGTGGGTAGGGGGTGTTGTCGCCTTCCGCCGAGTGGGGTCACGAAAACGGCACCGAATGTTTGATTCTTGACAACAATTTTGTTTTTAAATATTTTCAGTCAGCAAATATTTATAAGACGTCCATCGTATTCATAGGTTAGGTTACATAAAATATACAAAAGTCACATAGGCGTGTCCAGAACTATTTCTCAAAGATCTGGTCAAGAGCACTTAAAAAAAAATCGAGCGTGTAAGAAGTACGCGGGGATGAAGTGAAACTTCTTTCAGTCATACAACTGATATGAGGTTTTGTAATAATAATAATAATAATCTTATGTTAATTAATGGCCGGTAGAATTTTGGGTCAGTTGTTTAAAATAGAATAAACATAAAATACACAATGACAATTTTTATAAAAAACATGAACAATATGTTTATTAATTTAATTAAATACAATGGTAATTATTATAACTTATTGACTAATATATTATTAATAATAATTATAATTATTTAATATCAATGAACTAATTTATAACGATATTTCTTGAATTTGTGCTTCGGGATTTTGTGGTTCTATGGGTACAACTGTAATTATTGGTTTATGGTAACTGAAATAAGAATTGTAATTTTGTGATTGGACATTATTGAGGTATCTTGTGAATATGGCATCTATAGTGGTGCGGGATCTCGTTGTTGGAATCGTCGGATTATTATTCATAGTTAAATTGAATTTTTGACGTAAAAAATTTGTCAACGGCTGAGACTCTGGACAGTCAAACCTGACATTGAAGTCGCCACTTAAAATAATTGGTATTTTGTCTTCTCCAGTGCCGAGTTCTGAACCACCTACAGGTGTATAAGGCAGCAACGATTTATGCAAAAATCTAATTATATCAGGTATATTGCTGTTTGGTGAAATGTAAACTGCTACGATGAGAATGTTTTTTCCGTTTGGTCGTGTACATTCAGCAAAACATATATCACCAACTGATGTTACTAATGCTCCAAAATATTGCAATGGACTAACTTCCACAGACATTCTTGGACTTACAACGTGAATTGTGTCATTAGCATGGTGATAAATCGCTACTCCTCCATGTGATATATTTGGTCGTAAGATTTTCTCCGATTTTATTATAACGCATTTTATATGTTGAAAATCCCCTCTCTTCTTTTTGCATAGGCATCAATATGATAGTTGATCGGCTGGGCAAAAAAGGCGCTTCAAATCTGCACATTTTTTTATTTCCAACTATGTTTTTATAGCATGTAAATGTGTGCTTATGAGTTTGCAGCTTAATATTACTGGAAGCTTCATTTGCAGATATAGATATTATGCTGTCTATTAATTTTATCGCGTCTGCTTTATTTTCGCCAACAACATTGGAAGGAGCATTAGCCAACCACAGTAAAATGTGAGCATGCGGACTTCCTCGATGCCGAAACTCGATTCTTTTAAAGTAATGAGTGACGTGGTGTTTGCCAAGCGGACTATACTTAGGTTCTTTTAGAATATTTATTAAGATATTGACTATTTTGTTGAAATAAATAGCACAAGTCACTGAATCTTCATTAATAAGTTTAGACTTTTCAAGATAATGCAGATCTTTAATAAGTTCATCTGATAATAATACACCATTATTTTTTAATTTATATATGGTTCGAAGCAACCATTTCCAACCAATTTCATTAGCACTCACAGTAAGAAATACCGTCGGCTTACCAAGTTGTCTGATCATTGCAAACAGATCTTTTTTTCTGTGCATCCAGTACCAAGCTGAATTAGGAATTGATCTCAAAAAAGCTAGGTTGGATTCAACACAACCATTTGGGAAGTTTTCATCCAGGATTTGATCCTTTGTAATTTTTGTGTCATTGCCAATATGTTTGAATGCAACAGTGAGCGAATCACGAACTCTCAATCTCATAATTTTCATGGCCATATATAACAAGTGGTGAGCCATTGTACCACGTCGATCAGATCTTCTTAATTCACTGGTGGCTATTGTAAATGCTGTTGCATTAACACCTTCTCGAAAAATTCGAAATTCACCAAGATAAATAAGAGGAAAAGACAGCTCTTCAGCATGTTCGTCGAATAATAAACTGTGGGGAATCTGGTCTTGACCTGGTGCGAGGTGTAAAAATTGATCATCATTCCACAAGAGTGTTTGTTGTTGTGCAGTCAGGCTTTCTTCAATTGGAATATTTTCACTGATATTATCTGGACATTTTCCACCACTGTTTTCCATTGTATTAAAAAATGACTCATTGATTTTTATTTCATACGCTCGATAAAGATCAGATGGTACTAGATACTCAAGCCAAGTTTTTATTTTGCGTTTTTGAACAACGTCAGATAAATAACTTGATTTGTGAGTTAGTCTGCGTTTTATGTGAACGTTAATGCAATAGTCATCATCCAAATTCCGAGGAAGACTTTTAACCATGTTATTAACTGAGACAGGTACGTTAATAACTTGACCATAAATACCATACTGGCCAGTAACATGTCGTAGCCTCCTAATGTTCATGAAGGGAAGACGTGGAGAAATTAGTCTTTCTTCAACTAAATTCAAGGCTGGCAGACAGCTAGGTATAGCTGGATATTTGAAACCATTATACGTGGCCATGACTGGAATCTTATCCTTTGTTAATGAGGCTCTACAGGTGTTGCATAGCATAATATCTTTGTTTGGAATATCTGGTACGATAGTCTTTAAAATAGTCTCGTATTTATTACCAGCAGGTTTCAAATCTTGCTGGAACCATAATCGATCACAAACAGAACATGGATAGCCAAATGGATTATTTATAAATTTATCCTCAAAGTATTTGTGTGCTTGACGAAAACGACGGAAATCACTATGGCAGAAGAAGATCATCGTCACTAGTATCATCATCTTCATTATTCATTATAATTATAATAATAAAATAATAAAATTATAATTATAATTATTTTATTATTCATTATTCATCAACATTATTCGTTTTTTCACTATCTTCATTGAATTGTCTCTGCCTTTGTCTGTTTCGATATTCCTGCATGCGTTGTGCTCCAGTTTTAGGTTGTGATGTCGGTTGTGAAGCATTGACAGTTTCACCATTATCACTTTCACTTTGACGTACCCGATAGTCTCGACTACGTTCTGCAGGTGTTTTACACGTAGTCTGAAGTTGATTATTACATGCGATAGATGCTTGTGAACTTGCTTGATGGACTTGAGCATTAACAACAATTACCCTTGGTTGATTTCTATTAGATTCTTCATCAGAGCTATCATCATTATGAATTGAACGAGAATCAGGATTTCTCCATTGTATAGTTGTTGAATTTTGTTGTTGTGTATCTGAAAAATAATTTTTTTTTTGTATTACAAATAAATGTTGACTTTATTTTGAATAATAATGAAATATTATTTTGAATATTTCCAATTAGTTTGAATATTTTCAATAATAAGTAAAATTTATTTCAAATAATGATTAAATATTATTGAAATAATAATAGAGATTAAGAAAGTCGTGTAATAACTATTAAATTACCATTTAAGCTAGGTAATGTTGGACCACTTGTTATTTCATAATTTTCTGGATTTTGCCGTTGAAGTTCTTTTTGTCGTGCCCGGAATTCTCGATTACGTTCTGCAGATGTTTTAGGTGCAGGCCGAGATACATGATTTTTATTTTCTTGTCGAGCTGCTCTTAGACGTGCCCGATAGTCTCGTCTACGTTCTGCAGGTGTTTTAGGCATCGGCTTGAGTCGATTAACATTGACGTTGGGTTGAATTTCATTAGATTGTCCATCAGTACAATTATTATCACCATTTAAAATAGATTCAGGACCCATGCATTGCATCGTTGCTGAATTTTGTTGTTGTGTATCTGAAACATTTGTATTACAAATAAATTTTGACTTTATTTTGAATAATAATGAAATATTATTTTGAATATTTCCAATTAGTTTGAATATTTTCAATAATAAGTAAAATTTATTTCAAATAATGATTAAATATTATTGAAATAATAATAGAGATTAAGAAAGTCGTGTAATAACTATTAAATTACCATTTAAGCTAGGTAATGTTGGACCACTTGTTATTTCATAATTTTCTGGATTTTGCCGTTGAAGTTCTTTTTGTCGTGCCCGGAATTCTCGATTACGTTCTGCAGATGTTTTAGGTGCAGGCCGATATACATGATTTTTATTTTCTTGTCGAGCTGCTCTTAGACGTGCCCGATAGTCTCGTCTACGTTCTGCAGGTGTTTTAGGCATCGGCTTGAGTCGATTAACATTGACGTTGGGTTGAATTTCATTAGATTGTCCATCAGTACAATTATTATCACCATTTAAAATAGATTCAGGACCCATGCATTGCATCGTTGCTGAATTTTGTTGTTGTGTATCTGAAACATTTGTATTACAAATAAATTTTGACTTTATTTTGAATAATAATGAAATATTATTTTGAATATTTCCAATTAGTTTGAATATTTTCAATAATAAGTAAAATTTATTTCAAATAATGATTAAATATTATTGAAATAATAATAGAGATTAAGAAAGTCGTGTAATAACTATTAAATTACCATTTAAGCTAGGTAATGTTGGACCACTTGTTATTTCATAATTTTCTGGATTTTGCCGTTGAAGTTCTTTTTGTCGTGCCCGGAATTCTCGATTACGTTCTGCAGATGTTTTAGGTGCAGGCCGATATACATGATTTTTATTTTCTTGTCGAGCTGCTCTTAGACGTGCCCGATAGTCTCGTCTACGTTCTGCAGGTGTTTTAGGCATCGGCTTGAGTCGATTAACATTGACGTTGGGTTGAATTTCATTAGATTGTCCATCAGTACAATTATTATCACCATTTAAAATAGATTCAGGACCCATGCATTGCATCGTTGCTGAATTTTGTTGTTGTGTATCTGAAACATTTGTATTACAAATAAATTTTGACTTTATTTTGAATAATAATGAAATATTATTTTGAATATTTCCAATTAGTTTGAATATTTTCAATAATAAGTAAAATTTATTTCAAATAATGATTAAATATTATTGAAATAATAATAGAGATTAAGAAAGTCGTGTAATAACTATTAAATTACCATTTAAGCTAGGTAATGTTGGACCACTTGTTATTTCATAATTTTCTGGATTTTGCCGTTGAAGTTCTTTTTGTCGTGCCCGGAATTCTCGATTACGTTCTGCAGATGTTTTAGGTGCAGGCCGATATACATGATTTTTATTTTCTTGTCGAGCTGCTCTTAGACGTGCCCGATAGTCTCGTCTACGTTCTGCAGGTGTTTTAGGCATCGGCTTGAGTCGATTAACATTGACGTTAATAATTATCTAATTGTTTTATTAATTTGAAACTCATAATTAAATAAGTATACATCAGAGACCTACCTATATTTTGAGTAATATCAAATAATGATATATCAAGTAGGTACCTTCTACAAAGTATACATGTAGGTTACTTATATATAATATAAATAATTGTACTTGTACTATTTTCTATTCAAGTATAAAGGAAACATATTGGTACGTTGGTAATGGTAAATATGTAGATGAAATCAAGTATTAATTAAATATTTATTATTATTATTTATTAAATAGTTTAATTAGTATAGTATAGTTTAGTCATACCATTATGCAATTTACCTGCCAGAATTTAATTAAATACATTAAGTTATATTTTGTTTTCTCACCTAAAAACTGTAATAAATTAAGTAATACCTACTACCTACCTTTATAATATTATGTGTAGGTACTTAATTTATACTTTTAGACCAATGGACCAAAATATTTACTAATATCAGTATTAATTCATGTCCATACCTATAATATAACCCTACTATTATGTATATACATACATCTATAAAATACATTAGTCATATTATGTAGGTACATAATATATATATCAATTTGTTATTCATAAATTATTACATTTGATATTAAATAAATAAATATACTTGATAGACCATAGACATATATATTGAGTAATATCAAATTATGTCATATCATTATACAATTGAACCATCAGAGTATTATATACTATTTGAAAAATATAGGTGTGTTGGTCATTGTAAATGTGTCAAGTATTAACTAAATATTAATTATTATTATTATTATTTATTAAATACTTATAGTATAGTCATATAATATGATTAAATTCATTGAGTTATATTTTTAATATACATAATTTGACTCACCTAAAAATAGTATATTATATATATTTTTATAATGTTCCGCCCGAACTCTCATATTCCGCGACATTTCTTTTACTAATCGGCAATCGCGCACTCTGGAATATTTATTATATATGCGTTTTCGCTTTTATCAACTTGACTACGGAATATTGTTTATACGTTTATACCACAGAACAATACTGGTTTATACTGGTTTGTTTATAATATCATATGATATGTTTCCAAAGAGATTACAAAATATTGAAACGGAAAATATCAAAAACTTTATAAACAAAACATCGTACCGTTTTCATGACGCCCGAGCGTCCGTGTCGCCCATGCCAGTGCCCGTGACGGTCAGAGCGTCACTTTTTTTTCGATGCCCCTCACATAAGAAGTTTCACTTCAATAATCCAAAACTTACTTTTGATTTAATTTAAACTCGAAGTTATGACCATCGCAGTGAGTCCAGATACGTAAACATAGGTATGTATACGTAGCAGTTAGGACAAAACTTAAACAGTGAACACTCATCACTATTTCGAAAGTATTAACCTTTTTTTTACATTTTTTTTTTAGATATGCAATTTTAATATTTTATACGATAATTTATATAGACTTTATTTTCTTTATCAAATAAAAATTTGTCCTAAATAAAAAGTCACTCTGTTATACAGTAGGTGACAAGTGGGTCACTGTAGCGTATTTACGGATGCTACTCGAGACTGGCAAACAAATTTTTTTTATACTTTATTATACTTTTAATATTATTGTACTTTATTACTTTAATATTATTACGGTAGACCACGTCCATTTTGGTAGACCGCAGTGGCATAGTGGCCAGACTCGAGTAGTATCCGTAAAATAAATTTGTTTTACGAACCCTAACTGAATTTGGGATCTATTGGCCAGTCTCGAGTAGCATCCGTAAATACGCGTCAATGTAATGGACGGCGTTAAATTTGAATTCAATGATATAATATCATTGTATAAGAAATTAGAAAAACGATTCTGAGCGAAGACGGTCAGTCAGCCAGCTATGATATTACGAAGTATATTTTATGATATTATTGTGAATAAAGTAATTTATATATAACCTATTTACGTGGAACCTTGTTTTAAATTTTCAATCTTCACTCCTCAGCTATAAAAGTTGGAACATTTTATAAATTTTTAACTACAAAATGATTATTATATTTTAAATTTGATAAATGTTGTCAAAATTCGAACTTTAAATGCTTATAAAAAAAATTGTGCCCATGTATTTTTAATATTTTTCAACTGTTTTTATAAGTTATAACAATATATCAGGAGCCTTGTATTCTTTCCTTTCATTCCTTCCACATCAAGTTGAAGGACTATCCATATCACAGGTAAGTGATACAAGAAAAAAACTGATATTTATCTGCTGTATTTTGATTTTTAATTTTTAGATGTTGAAGAAATCTGTTGAAACCCGTGATTGGCTTCATAGCTTAGAACCAAGAACAGTGCGCGCTGTTATGAAACGAGTGGTGGAGGAAATTACATCTGTCGACAGTCAAGTAAAACTACTCATTTGTAGTATATGATAAATTAGTTAAAATTACTGATGGATATATATACTCCGCTCGAGTCAAGAGCACAACAAGTTTTATCCTTTTGTTAACGTGTCGTGCTCTTGATCCGTTTGGAGTATACTTGTACATCCGTGTTATGTTGTCATAAGCTTTCGAATAATAATAAGAAGGACGTGTATCATCTATAAAAATAATTATTAAGATTTTAACATGGTACTTCTTGTAAAAAACATATGATATCTAATACCTATCCATATTATTTAATATTTATTACTTTGTAAACATTTATTACTAAACATTTATTACTTTGTAAACAATTAATACAACACCCAGAAGAAGCTATCCATATTGATACAAAACAGTTTTATATTAAAATATTAAGCATTTGTTTGCTTTTTAAGACAAAAATAAATAGTATTTAATTAATTTAGTAAATTTTACAAATTGTATTCTTTATTGTTAAATTAGATGAGAAAATGTGTAACAGTGCTCAAAAATGTTTAATGAAAGAAATAAGCTGAATGTGATATTTTTTATTAATAGTTTGTTTTCCATTGTTCATAATAAAGTATATAATATATAAATAAAACCATTATATAATAATTAAATTGAAGACTCAGTCCAACGATGTATGCAATGTGGATTGGTACACACATAATACAATCTCATTTCCTCCTGAAAAAAAAAAATAACCAAATTAAGTATTAATTAAAATTAAATACCAAATATAAGTTATACCTCTGCACGTCTAGTTTGAGCTTGGAAAAATACTGATTCTCGGTGTTTACATTTTGGACAGGGATGATCTTCAGATCTGGGTAAAGTTGGATCAGACGTTACATCGGAAACAATATGAGTAAGTTCACTAAAGGCCAGAAAAAAATAATATTAATAACTACCTTATGAGTAACAAAGTCAATATTCAGTGTATAGACGTTTTAAATTACTTGATTTCGTGCATAATTTTATTCACATAAATGCAATTGCTGTCAGCCATTTGTCTGTGATCGCAATTTCGACACTGAAACATTGAACATATTATTTATAATTTAATGTACAACCAATGTAGCAATCTAATACACTTTTTCCATGACCAAACAATTGGCATTTGGTAAATAAATAAAAATAAAAATGATTAACCAAAACTGTCCAAAAGTAATATTATATTTTACTTACAGCGTACAACAGTACTTTATGTTCTTTGTCTTCTTTTGGATACAACATGTTGTTACTGGAAAACAAACAGCACAAAGACAAATTAATTTAGCGAATTAAACAGTCGGTATTTTTATTTATTTTTGTCATTATTATTCCTCAACCATTGAAATTATTAAACGCAACTTTCTGTTTCGACTTTAAAAAATTAGAATTTTCAACACTGTGGTCCGATCAAAATTTAACAAAATTAAGTTTTACTTTAAAAACATTAATTAGTATGATAGTATTACCATTCTTGACAGAATCTAATTCCGACAAATCCGGGTCCGTCACTCCGGGAATCGTAGCCCGACATTATTATATTGTACGACGTACGTTATAATACAAGCGTCTAGAGACAGAAAACGACCATGACTATATAAATTTAAAATAAATGGAAATATCTAAAAACGTCCAATAATAATATGTCTTTCATCCGTATATCGAGATAAATATCCCGTAGGTACTCGACATTTTTAATTTTTTGTTTATTCTGTGATAATATTATTATGCAGCCGTGATAATGATTATTGTTTTGTTGATGGTTAGAACCACGGACTAAGATAAATTAAAGTTTATCTTAGTCCGTGGTTAGAACCATGGGTATCGTGGTTAGAATTGTGGTTACGATAACAGAAACTGATAAAATACAGAACGATTCTGATTGGTTGAGCAATTTTGCTCCCGAGACGCTCGTAAATGTAAATTGATTAATCACAGAATAGATAACATTTAATCTATTCTATGGTTAAATATTTATTATTTTCTTTTTAAGTAGGTAGTTTCAAGTTTGGTTTTGTTTAGTTGTAAATCAGAAAAAAAACTATAAAGTAATATTCATTATATTATAATACATGTTCTAAAATGGATATTAAACCTGGAGATCCTTATGACATTGACGGTGCATGTTTCAATGCAGAGATGTATGTCAAGAAAGTACTTAAGGTAAAAATAAATCAAGTCTATAATCTAATGTAAATTACATTTTATATTAACACTTTCAACGCTTATACTTGTAAACAGAGTTTATTCCAACAGGTGGGTGGCACATTAACGCGTCAAAAACGTATGTTATGTTCATATACACTATAGTTAAATCGGATTTTTTTTAATAAACTCGAAACTTAGATAGGCCATTTACAATTAATTCTAAATTTAAAGGTATGGGAGGTTTTAGTTTTTGTTTTTTTCCGTCTTTTCTGAAATCACGGGCGGCGTTGAATGTGTTAAATAGTGTTTTAAGTGCTTAAAAATATTCTACAAATCCTTACCACTTAGATTAAATTTCAGTTGATCAGTATGAATTGTTTTATGTCTATTAAATATACTAATTCATAATATTGTACAGGAGTCAAATTTAAAACAAGTAATAGATCATGAAAGAGAAATACATCAGGACATTCAATCTTTACATTCTGATATGCAAACTTTAGTATATGAAAACTACAACAAATTTATTTTGGCTACTGATACAATTGGAAAAGTAAGATGTTAAACCATAATAAAATATATTATATATAATATAATCAAATACCCGGATGGTTTTAACTTTTAATTTGTTAACTTTTTATTTGTGCTCTAGATGAAAAATGATTTTAAAAGTTTAGAAGAAGATATGGAATCACTTTTATTTAAAATGGATGAGATTACTAATACATCAGAAATAATTACATCATCTTTGCATGCAAGTGAACATTTTGTAGAATATTAACTTTAGGTGTAACTGTATAACTATAGTTATTCATTGAATAATTATGTATGTGTTTTAATATATTTAGGCCAATAGAGATGAAATATCAAAACTATCAGAGACCCATACATTATTAAAACGGTTGGAGTTTGTTTACACGCTTCCAACAACATTAAATAAACTTTTAATAAAAGGAGATTATGCACAGGTAAAATAATGTATGTACTTATTTAAGGGATATGAATAGTATTGAAACATTATGAAAATTAATTTTTGTATTTTTAATAATATGGTTTATTGAACTGTTTAAGAGTAAAAACACCTATTATCAATATAGTAGAAGAGAAGTTAATCTATTATGAAGTTATGCCTATTTAAATTTTCAATATTTTAATTACTGAACTCAATAATTAAAATTCCAAAAGTAGGATATTACAAGTTTTAGAGCCAAATATTGGACATTGAAAATAAAAAATCAACTCTTATAGAGCAGGCCTAGTTAAACTTCTTCTCTTCAATTTGTATAATAAGTATTCTTACTATAATATCACTGAGTACCTAAGCTATATTATTTGAAATACAAAACTAAGTTTCAGTGTTTCACTAAATTTCACATTTTGTAATTAGTGTGTAAAGTGCTGCTTTACTGTCATTTATGTACATGTGTGGGAGCGCTCCAATATTTATTTTATACACAGCCACTCACACTAATGAACACTTACCATGCACACATTTACACGACCCGCATTCACAGTGCACACACATAGAAAATTACCTATACTGAACTCCTTAGAAACGGTTGGTATTGAATGTTGATACCCCTTCGATTATTCATATAAATAAACTGATTATTTATTACTAATAAATAATCAGTTTATTTTTGTTTTGTAATAAATCATTACAAAACTAAAATTATGTAATTTTAATATAATTTCTTTATTAGGTTGTTCAAGAATATTTACATGCTCAACGAGTTTTAACTCAATATGGTAATCAAGAATCGTTAAAGGGAATACTTAACGATTGTAACGAAATAGTGAATGAACTAAAGAAAATTTTATACAGCCATTTAAGAGATAAAGATGTAAGTATTTATTCATAATTTATATTTAATTTTACCTATAGTAGAAGCATGATTTTACTAAAATGACCCTTTATGTCCTAGATTACTGGTAAAGAGTTAACTAAATCTGTTAATCTATTACTTCAACTTGATGAACCAGTTTTATCACTATGCAAAGAATTTTTATCACACTCCAAAAATTGTCTATTGGAGTCATTGCATGTACTTCAATCGCAAGTTGAAGATATAAATCAAGTAAATTTAGTTATAATTCTTATAGATTTTAATTTTATTATTCAAATACTTAATATTATATATGTTTTAATACTTCTGCCATTGACCAGATATTTTAAAAATATAATGGAGTACAAACGAGTATCAAGTATCAAGTTGTCACCAATATACTATTGAATATACTCATATTTACCATAATATTGCTATCTTACGAATGTATGAAATTAGACAAGTGCCTATCACTTGCTTCTTTTATAATTCTATCTATATATGATTCATTTTTAACCTTTCGGACTTCAGTACAATATGTAACCTTCCGAATTATTGAATTATTTAAAACCTTGGATTATAATGTCAAGTCTTAACACAAGCAATTTTAAAATGCTATTTAAATAATAAGAATATAATTATGAAATAATAAAAAATTGTAGCTTATAATTTGTAATTTATTTATATATTTAATTGTTTTCTTAGGATATGATTGAATTTATTGATTTAGGAAGTGACACTTTCCTTAGTCAATTGTGCCTGGTAATCGCATCATTCAATGATATGTTTGTTGAAAATTTATCAAAAAAGTAAAACATTGTATAAAAAAGAAAATTTCGATTTATTTATTAATCATTGTCATTAAATTTCAGTGATGAAAATGAAGAGACCGAAATCAGTATAAATCAATTAAATGTGTTTGTTGAGGATAATATGATTCGATACTTGGAAATTGTTCAGTGTTATATTGATAGAAATACAAGTGACACAGCGATCCTAGTTAGAGCTCTGGACAGATTTTATAGAAAGATTCAAGCAATTGGAAAATTATTTTCCTACAAAGATTTTACATTGTATGTATTTAAGTCCGTAAAAAAAATAGTATTACGTATGATTAATAATAATATAATTAATATTCATAGGAATGTAATGGAGATTATTTCATCTGCTGCCCGTCGTCAAACTAAATTACACTTAGATATGTTAAAAGCGCACTTCCATGATAAACTCGCAACTGTACGTCAGTCATTAGTATCGTTGCAAAAATTAAATGATAATGGATTTGCTACTGAATCATTGGCATCATTGACATCAGATGTAATAGAAAAAGTTAAAGGAATTTTACAAGATATTTCTGTAAGTCAAATAATAATAATTATTATATTATTGATTTTAAAATGCACAGATCAACTATAGCATAGGACTTTTCGGTGACTAAAAATATGCTGTTAGCTGCTAGGTTGCTATATCCGTTTGCATTAAGCACAATATAAACGGATACAGTAAACCTAGCGGCAGACACAGCATATTTTTAGTCACCAAAACCTCCTATGCTATAGTTGATCTGTGTATTTTAAAACCAATGCTAATATATTAAATTTGAATTGGGGAAATAAACCTATCAAATTTTAGTTATTATTTCTATACCATTGATTTAATCATATATTTTCTATAGATTAATATTGTGTTTAGGCATTTTTAGATCCAAAAGTATCATTTTCAACCAATAATGCACTTCGAAAAACTATTAGTGTGGATTATGTACGTGAAAGTCTTGTTGTGGGATTTTTACATTATTTATCCTCAGCAGCCCGTTCTTACACTATTTGCATACCTTGCCCACCCGCTTTTCTTTTTCTGATTATGACAAAAATGTGTCTTGAATATCAAATTTCTGGTGTCGGTCATTTGGTAAGCTAAAATATAGTCCTAAGAATAAATAAATAAATGATAATATTTAATATTCATTGTTAATTTATTTTTAGTTAAAACTAGTTGATGAAACTTACGAAATTAATAAATATTTTGAAACCAAAAACAAGAATTCATCTCAACTTAGCTCTGAAGTTGAGTTGGCATCAGATATGCATTCTGCCGCTCAACATCTTGTAAACTTTTATGTACGCGTTGAAGGACTATCCATATCACAAGTAAGTGATACAAGAAAAAAACTGATATTTATCTGCTGTATTTTGATTTTTAATTTTTAGATGTTGAAGAAATCTGTTGAAACTCGTGATTGGCTTCATAGCTTAGAACCAAGAACAGTGCGCGCTGTTATGAAACGAGTGGTGGAGGAAATTACATCTGTCGACAGTCAAGTAAAACTTCTCATTTGTAGTATATAATAAATTAGTTAAAATTACTGATGGATATATATACTCCGCTCGAGTCAAGAGCACAACAAGTTTTATCCTTTTGTTAACTAGTCGTGCTCTTGATTCGTTTGGAGTATACCTGTACATCCGTGTTATGTTGTCATAAGCTTTTGAATAATAATAAGAAGGACGTGTATCATCTATAAAAATAATTATTAAGATTTTAACATGGTACTTCTTGTAAAAAACATATGATATCTAATACCTATCTATATTATTTATTATTTATTACTTTGTAAACAATTAATACAACACCCAGAAGAAACTATCCATATTGATACAAAACAGTTTTATATTAAAATATTAAGCATTTGTTTGCTTTTTAAGACAAAAATAAATAGTATTTAATTAATTTAGTAAATTTTACAAGTTGTATTCTATTTTGTTCCAACAAAGGTTAAGATTCTTCTGTAATTACAAATTATTGAAATTACCCTTTATTATTTAGGTTGGTGAATTATTTGAAGAAGGTTTGCGGACCGACAGAAGTAGTGATTCGAGTCGTAGGACTCAAATGTCTAGACATATAAGGGCGTGGTCTACTGGTGGAACAGCTACAAACACCCAAACATTTTCTGCCATCAATAGATTATTTTCAGAACGCATAGACATATTTTCGCCAGTTCAATTTTCGAGGGTTTCTATTACAACAGGCATTATTAAAATAAGTCTTAAGGTTTGGATAATTTCTGTATAATTGTAATCTAAACTTTTTAATTTTTTTTCTTTTAATGTTTCAGACACTTTTAGAATGTGTTCGTTTAAGAACATTTAATCGCTACGGACTTCAACAGGTTCAAGTTGATATTCATTATTTACAGCTTTATTTGTGGCGATTTGTTTCAGATGAAAAGTATGATATTATATACATTATCATTATTTTATGATTTAAAAATCATTCTAATTAAATATTGTTTATTAATGTATATAGGAAAAATTTTAAAAGTAATTGATTAAATTATTAGAGTGAAATAACTAGGTTTAAAATGTATATTTTTTAAGTTCTTACAAAATTAATTTAAATAACTATTGTTTAACTAATTCTTTTATGAATAGTAAACATTTTATATCTACCTAAATTTTTTGAATTACAAAATCTGTACGTACAAATTGCATTATGCTATTACCCATTTTCATATGAATATTTTATATTGGAATTTTGAAATATCTATTTGAAGCTGTTTTCTAAGTATTTCATTTTTTTTTAGTTATCAACTTTTTTTCATAACATTATAGGTAATATAATATTTCATATTATATTATTTCTTCTTAGCAACCTAATCTAAAATGAACTTAGTTTTGGAACATGATATTGCTGAAAAATAAATTTATTGGATAATTTAAAATGAATAACCGTTTATTTTACTAATTATTTGCTTTTGATTTCATCTATAGTAATTTTAATTTTATAATTTATTTCAGTTTAGTACATTTGCTTTTGGACGAAATATTAAGCAGCTCCGTTCATAGATGTTTAAATCCAGTATTAATGGAACCAAGTGTTGTTGAAATTATTTGTGAAAGAGGTTAAATACTTATATTCCTTATTGTGTATTATAATATGTACCTATAACTGTTTTTTGTTTATTTAAAGTATATTACACTGTATTGTTAATAACTATTGAAATGTATATTATTTAATAGAATTTATTATATTTATTATAATTTATAACTAATATTTTAGGTATATTTTCTAATAAAAAAATTAAATAGTCAATATATTAATTTTATTATAGTCAATAAATAGTGAACCTTAACGTAGATAAAATTGGACCATTTGTATAAATGTTACAGCATTAATTGTACACAGTTACAACAATACATTTCTCATCAAAAAGTATTTAGAAAAAAAGAAATTAATGGGATTTGAAACAACTGTCTTTTCCATTAAAAAGACTATTTAATATTTTCATTCACAAGTACCTACTTATATAATATCTAATTACGGTGATATGCCCGTATGGATAAACCCATTAAAGCTGTGGGTTGCCATAAGGCAACATAGATTTTTTACAATCATTTTCAACAAAATGTTGGTTAAAATTGTAAATAAAAAAACTCCGGCGCTAATGGGTTAAAAAAAAGGTTGTTATTTTAGTATCTTTTCCTTTAGATCATTGTATCCTTTAATCGACTTTTAAATTTAAACTTGTACTTACACTTATCAAAATTTGATTTTAAAAATGTTTTATACGTTTGTGCATAGGTATTGAACAGTGAACTACGAATTTACAGATAGATAAGGTGTTTCTATGATCCAAAGTAAACAATAGGTAATAAACATATTGAGAGGAGACGCCCACATTTTATGTAGTCTCCATAGTCTTATAGAAATAAGTAAGTAGTTTCTTAGTAAGTCCATATTATGGTAGTCTCCGTCTTACAAACGTACTTATGGGCATATCAGCCACATCGCACCAGGCATGGGGATTCAATGGTGCCCCCCCCCCTGTAGGATGTGTTTAACTTAAGATTAAAATCCTAATAAAAAACTAAAAAAAAAATGTTGATTTAACAATATAATCTATATTAAATGCTAAGCCCATCTCAAAAACTCCTGAAGCCTCCCAAAGTATTTCCTAAGTTGGCCTCGTAAGTATAACAATTAATAAATTATATTAATACTTATTAGTTGATATTTCTAGCCCCCTCCATTATATAAATCTGAATCCGCACCACGACACGCACTAATGATCGTTTACTATGCACGCGTAGATCAGGGTTCGCCAACCCACTGCCAATTTTGTGTCCCGAGGTGAAAATTTATAATTTGTATACAAATATACATTAGGCTCGCTCTTAGGACTTACTTGTTTTACGATACCTAATGAGTATTTTTTTGTGTGTGTCCGTATAAACGATAAGTATATCTAGTCGAAATAATGCTTGGATTTTCAACTTCAGTACCTATCTTTTCCGGTGGGAAAGTGAATCTAGTTGGTCCAATGGGAAGGTTTAAATTCCCAGAAGTAAAATTCCGATGGCAAATTCCTGAAGTACCGGAAAATAAAAAAATTGTGGAAAACTGGAATTTTTTTCGTATAAAATCGGTTTTCGACAAAATCGATTTTGGTTTAACTTTGAAAATAATTAGTTTTCTATACACCATTTCAAAATATTTCGACTCGTGTTGGTCTATTTGTAGGCATGTGACAATTTTGATTATCAAAATTTTTTCTCTCTCAAAAAACTTAATAATTAATACAAGGTTCCTTGTAAGTTATTGTTAGTGGAAATTAAAATAGAAGTTGAGCTTGAATCCACAATAGTTTTTTTGTGAGCATTGAGCTTCTGAAATTAAAATGTTGACAAAATTCGTAAAAATTACGAAAATTTGTAAATTATTTCGGGTTGTAAATTCATTAAGAATTTTTTTTTATATTTAAGATTTGAAAATTAAATATTATATTTCTCATAACTCAAAAATGTGTCTACCTTTATTAGAAATAAAAATATCTGCTGGAAAATCAAATTTAATTTTTATGAGCGTTTGAGTAGGTACAAGTTTTTACAACATTAAATATTCACTCCATTTCTCATGGAGTGATTTTCTTATTTTATTGCAATTTGCAATTCAAAAACGAATAACCATAGATACTTTAAATTTACACCATATGTTTATATTTTATCATTTTCTATGCTTGGTAAAATTTTCAAAATATTTTGAGTTGTTTTAAGCTGTTTATTGATATTTTCAATTTTCAATTTTTATAAGTTTTTTTTTCCTAAACGCCAATACAATTTTATTCGTTGAGTTAAAAAATTTGAAAATGTAATACAAGGCTACACAGTGTTACAACATCAGTTTAAAAATATTAAAAATACAAGTTACTTAAGTTACTTTATGTACTTAATTAGGTATGGACTGGAAACGGTGGATTAAAATGTTGTTTGTTTGTAGATAGGTTTAATTAATAAAGGTAGGTACCTATAGGTACCTAACAGACTAAAGTTATGGAGATAAACTAAATTTGATATGACTATACATTAATTTTGTTCAAAATAAAATAAGGCATATTCAAATTATTGTGTTCGATAAAAATTATGCAGTATTTATATTGACATCAAGAAGGTTTCTGACTCCTGGGCCCTGACATAGGTAAAACGATAGACTATATTAATATTCCGAATATTCGTGTTTTTCAAATGAGAACCCCCCCCCCCTTTTTACTGTAAATAAAATTATTTAGTGGATAATTTTTTTTGAAAATGCTGATATACCTAATTCAAAATTCGAATGAGTTAGTAGTTTCTTAGTTATTAAAGTGTTTGAACTTAGGATAGACGATAGTAGTCCTTAAAAATAGTTTTACAAAAATTTAAATAGACTTAATATTGGAGCTAGTATTTACTATACTTAGGCCATTTTTACAAATTATTAATGTTGATAGATTTATATTAATGACTAAAATTTTCAAATCACCATAATCCATATCTTATAAACCCATTGGACCTTTTATAGTTTTATCCTTAAAGGCTTAAAACAAAGTTAAATAACTCAAAAACTACTCTTACGAATAATGTCGGTTCTGATACGTCTAATTTTTCAGAAAAATCTATTATATAGGTAATAAGTGGCTTATACATAACTTTTGTATAGGGGGGGGATCAGTTGCAAACAAATTATTATGGAACGAAAATACCTAAACCTAGGTATGTGCTCATTTAAATACCTAATAAATGATAAAACATATATATATTCGATACATTTTATTTTAAATTTTACAAGTAATTATAGAACAAAATTTAATTTTCTTTTTTTTTTAGTCAATAATATTTATTATTTAAGCTATATTTAGCTTTCAATGAACAAATTACTGATAGCTATTAGCTAGTATGTTGTAGGTATATCCATGTTAGTTGATAATATACAAAATTGATAATGTTTTGGTATAAATGCGTAAAAACCATCGTGCAATAACCTTATATTATACCATAATAATATTTCTTTTTCTAATGTATAGGAAAACGTATTATTATACGCGTTGATATCGGTGACGGTGGCGACGGCCCGTGGCTGGTCTGCCACATTATTATTCTTATAATAATTTATTATACTTGTATATATAATATACATATTATCAAATATCACATAATACGATTATATGAATATGAAATAAATATATGATTACTGATTAATATTAAGTAAATTATTTTTAGTTAATTATTGAATATTGTGTTAAAATAAAAATTTACAAAAAATCCTTGCCATTTTTTTTCCTTGTAATTTCCTTACATTAAGTCATTAAGAACACTATTTTATAAAATTTAAAAAAAGGCCTATGGGGGGGATCTGACCCCCACATCCCCCCCTTGTATACGCCCCTGTAGGTAATTAATACTTAGTATTTAGTAAACGCAATAATAAATAAATACAATATTTATTGGGGGACGGAGTGGCCGAGCGGACTAAGGGATAGGATTTCAGACAAAATCGATTTTGGTTTTTGGTGTACCTCTAAAATAAATCACTGTAGGTACATGCAATTTTCACTGGTTATTTATATTAGCCTTTTCTACCCACGTTAAATTTTTAAAAATATTTTGATTTGTTTTGAACTGTATGGACTGTATGGACTGTATGGACATTTTCAGTTTCCAATATTTTTTTTTTTTTTTTCTATGAATGTCAATACAATTTTATTTGTTGGGTAAAAAATCTTGAACATTTAATACGAGGCTCATAATCAATTATAGTAAATCAATATAGTAGTTGAAAAATATTAAAAATATATAGTCAAAATATTTTTAATAAGCATTTAAAGTTCGAATTTTTACATAATTATCAAATTTAAAGTTATTTTTTAGTAAAAAATTTATAAAATGTTTAACTTTTATAGCTAAGGATTGAAAATTTAAAACGAGGTTTCACATAAGTAAGTTATGTATAAATTAGTTTATTCACAATAATATCATCAAATTTAGTACCTACTTAGTAATATATATCATAGGCTGATCAGAATCGTTTTTCTTGTACAACGATAATATGATATTATATCATTGAATTCAAGTTTAATACAATACATTGACACGCTTGTAACCTACTGTACAGCAAAGCGACATCCACTTACTCGATTTTTTTTGCTATTCATTATATATAATATAGGTATTATATCAATGAAGTAACTTGGCTCCTTCAAAAAACTTGAACATTTAATACAATATTCCTCACATACCTACGTATAGCTCATAGGTACTTGAACCAAAAAATCTAAAAATATATGTAAACACATTTTTTTTATAGAAATTTTAACTTTTAAGTTCCAATATATTTGGACGAAATTAGATATTTAAACTAAAAATAAAGATTTTGGTTAGGTATATTTTGTAATTTTTTTATTTTATGATTTTACAATATATATAAAGAAACATTTTTATAATATGCATAAATGATGTTGTGGATTTATATAAAATATTAGAAAAAATTAAATCAAATTAAATTAAATTAAATTAACAACATATTTCAGACTGCAGCTAGGGGGACTCGTGTGAAGTGGCCATCCATGATTGATGGAACTTCATGGTTGTAAT